AATCATATTGTTTTGTTCTAAAGCTAAATCAACTCAAGAAACATGGTTTTATATAAATAACAGATCTAACAAATAGATAAATTGTTAATGTAATTGGAAATAAGAAATGTAGGATATTTATTTACCTGTTTACAGGGAGGTATGTAAAGAGCTCTGTGGCATTGGTTTTTACAGAAAATAATTATAATTAACTATAGTTACTGTAAACATGTGTGCAGTTTAACAATATTTGAGTCACAGGGGCAGCAGGCAAATCTTTGAACAGTCAGAATAGCTTTCTAAAAATCGGTTAATACTTAATGAAACAAACAGGCAAATAATCATTTCACTGGAAGGGTAGTACCAATATTATCATGCCGAGGGCAGCAAGGAAACTGGACATAAAGCTTGGTTTTATTTTGGCTTGTTATTAAGATTTGGTTCTCCTGCATCGTAAAGAAAGTTCAGTGGGTAAATTGGCTCCTAGAAATCTGAACTAGCCCTGCACCTGGGTGACTTATGTGCTAACTCTTTAAACAAGTACAAAACCATAGTTCATAATTCCTAAATGGTAATACAAAAAGTCACAGATAATTCATGGGAGTAATAAGTCTTGGTTATCAAAACCCTCCAGATGGCTAGACATGTCATGCAAAAATAAATGTCATTTTAAGTCCAAAAACTAAAGTTATTTTAGTAAAGCATAGCTAAAATAAATCTGAATTATTTTGAACATTTTTTAGAGAACTATCAGAAAAAAAGGTTTTTTCTCCTTTTCAGTTCCAAGAGCTTAAATGAAACATTCATGCATTAAATTCAAAGTCTGACTGTCAAGTCATTTCACTTTAATAAAAATTTGAATTACCTGCCTTAGGGCATTATTAAATATCAAATAAAAAGCACACATCCATAAGTCTGATTTCCCAATATAATTTTTATGTAGCAGTACGACTAGATTTGTATTACACTTTTCAAGATAAAAGGATCAAAAATGTATTCATAAAAGGATACGGTCAGAAGTGAAGTCGCCTTTGAAAGAATTTCTGCACCATTCTTAGGAATTTGGGGGAAAATGACCTCCTTTAAGTAATCTCAGCCACCAAGACAAGGACATAAATCCATCCTCTCTTAAAATATCTAAACTGCAATTAATCAAAGACTGAAAATTACACACTGTCCTCCTATCATACCATGAATATGAAGTATCTGAAATATATGTAATCTTCTCATAAACATTTAAGAGTGTGTGTGTGTGTGTGTGTGTGTGTGTGTGTGTGTGTGTGTGCAAGAGAGGGATAAAGTAGTGATGGTTATTTAGATATTTAGAGACAGGCAATTCTGGTGTAGCACCAGATATGGATCAAAAATTAAAGCCAATAATCTTATTTCATAAAAAGCGTCATTTACAGTTACCGACATTCACAGAGAGTATACCAAACGTACACTGGGGAAATTCATAAATTCACGTTCACCAACCTCACCGCCCCTCTCTGCCTGGCCCTCCAACCGGGTCGTGCCCGTAAGCCCTCCGGACCCTCACTCTGCACCCATCTCCCAGCTGTCTGGCAGCGCTCACCTCTTCTAGCTTCTACCCAACCCTCCTTAAACAGTAAAGCAAGTCGTGAAACGCTGTCTATAAACCGCCAGCTCCTTCCTTCCCGTGATAGCACACCAAGTGTCCGGTCCCATAACAAAAGTCAGTCTCCACGTGTGCCGAGGGCCCCATCCCCTGGCAACTTTCCAGGGACTTCACTGCTAGGGCTAGCCCCGCAAGAAACAGCACCTTCAGCCCTGCCCACCCACTGGCTCATTCCCCCTCCCCCCACGTACAGAAAAGTTTTACTATTTCTTTTGTTTCAAAAAAGAAAAGTCTCATTTTCCCACCACACAAAGGGAAATGATATGCATGGGACATGACAGAGGTGTGAGCCAACGCTAAGGTGGGAATCATACTGTAATATAAAAATGGATCAAATCAAAACACACATTGTACACCTTAAACTTACACACGCTTGTCTGAAGCTGCCACCACAAGGTATCTCCACCCCCTCCCTTCACGCCCAACTTCTGCCCACTGCAACCGCCTCCCTCGTCCTCCTGCCACCCTGAGAGCCAGCGTGGCGACACTCCCTGACCTCTGTCCTGCAGTGCTTACAGCAAGGGGCTCTGCCAGGCAGGTTGCTTGGGTCCAACTTCCAGTCCCACTGACCAAATGGCTTTGAGCAGATGACCTAACTTCTCTGTGCTTTGGTTAACTGGTCATAAAGCATCCCATAAGATTTTATGAACATCGGAGGTCATCCCCATGTAGCATGAGAACATTATACGTACACACTTGTATGTATAAAATCTCTATGCCCACAACTCCTGCATTCTGTTCAAACCTCTTTTCTGATCTCCGCTCTCGAAATTCCAGCTTCCTTCACGCCAGGCCCACTGTTGTGACTGACAAGCCTCTCTCAGTCCCCTCCCACTCTCCATCTCAGACAGGGCCTCTTCTGCCTTCCCTCTTGTCACTCAGTGGCACTCTAGCCACACAGTTTCTAAAGCCCCAAAAACCCCGGGTGTTATCTTTGATATTTCCATCTCCCCGCACCCTCGTCCAATTTATCCCTAGATATCACTTTCCAAGACCCTTTCACATATGTCAGCTTCTCTCCATCTGCACTGCTCCTAGGCTGGTATCCATGCCTGCATGCCTTTCACCTTGGCTACCCAGTGGACGTCTAAAATATCCTTCCACCGCCACAGCCTGGCCCACAATAATCTGATCCATTCGTTCTGCAGCCACTGTGATCTCCTGAGAAGGCCACTCCCCTGAGAACGCTTAGATCTCAGCACACTGACGATGAAATAAAGATGTCTTAACATGGCTGCCGAGGCCCTCTAAGTCATGGGGCCCTGCCTGACCTTCACTTTTCATTTCCATACCCCAGACTCACAAGGCTTCTTTCAGGTGCATCAATGCATCAAATTCTTGTCACCTCCACAGAGACTGGGCCCTCGGGGTCTCTGCAAAAGATATTCCCTCTATCTGAAATCTCCTTCACTCCATTTCTTGGTTCTTTTCATTCATGGAATTTATTAACTGTGTATTTTTTTTTAACATCTTTATTGGAGCATAACTGCTTCACAGTGTTGTGTTAGTTTCTGCTGTATAACAAAGTGAATCAGCTATATGCATACATATATCCCCATATCCCCTCCCTCTTGCGTCTCCCTCCCACCCTCCTTATCCCACCCCTCTAGGTGGTCACAAAGCACGGAGCTGATCTCCCTGTGCCAGAAGTGTTTGTTTCTCGATTGTCAGGTTCCCCATCTCAGACTCTAGCTTTTATGAGGGCAGAGACCACATCTGTTCTTCTCATCTCTGTATACACAGAACCAATCATGTAGTAGGTGCTCAATAATGATTTCTGACTGAATATTATTTTAATTCTTTAGCTCATCCATTATAAGGCTCAGCTTAAAGCCCTCGGGGATGTTCTCCATTGTTATCATATATGAATTACTGAAAGTTCCTTCTCATTCCTACCACAGGTGACTTTGCCTGGCCTCATCATCATCATCCCCATCATCTCATCATCTACTGGCTGACACAGAAACTGAGAAGGAACGAAGGACTGGAACACAGTTGGCTGATACAGGACACACATAAGTTCTAAGGAATTTCTAATTTCCCTAAGGACATCCACGACTCCAAGTGTTACTTGCCATGATCGATTCAAAGTAAAATCAACACGTTTCAACCCTTAAGAAGCCTGAAATCTGACACAGGAAATAAGAAATATACAAATAGCTAATTGGAAGAAAAATGTGAAACAAGAGGTACAATATAAGGGACACGGAGAGAATTCCTGC